TGTATTTATATATATAAAAATTATATTATTATATTTATAGGAATAGGAAAAAAGAAAATAATAATAATAATAATAATAATAATAATAATAATTTAAAATAAAATAAAAAGAGTATAAGTTGACAAGAAGGAGGCAACTCTTGCAATATAATCGATATTTGCTGTCGAGCGTCACAACGTCTCCTTTAAATGAAATACACACACACACACACACACATACATTTATATATATATTTATATACACATGTACAAATATATATTAGTTCATATATATTTCATATTCTAACGTTTAACATTAGATTTACGGATGTTTTGTTAAAATAAAATTTTTATAATGAATTACAAACATCCTTTGAATGAAGGGAGGCTTGAGTAGAAAGGATAATTTAATATTTACACGTATATTTCATTACGTAATTAAAAATCAACGTATTTTTTTAAAAAATAATATATATAATTAATGTTAATGAGTTAAATTGGCTGAATTTTCGTAAATCTAGCGTTTCAACAATGATTTCTATTTGAATTTGTTAACTTTGTTTCTATATATTTGATTTTTATTTTTTCTTTACAATTTTGTTATTTGTTCCAGGATATTTCTTATCAAATTTGAAAAGCAGAAGAATAATAAGAAGAATTAAGCAAAAAAGAATAAGAAGAATAAGAAGAATTAGTGAGAAATTTAATCGGAGGAACGTTTGCAAGAATAATTGTGTTTTAATTTAATTGGGGTGTTCTTCCCACCATTTTTTCTATATATATATAATTCAATAATAATCCTGATCTTACTTGGGTCGTCCCAGGTTTATCAATCAATCGCGTTTGAATTCTTTTTTTGATATCAATAAAAATTTAATCAATAATAATAATAATAATAATATAAAGTTGAAGGGAGTAAGATCAAATAATTAGTGAAATGTTTCGCGATTGGTTTCAACAACGTGTTCGACAAAAATTCTCGTCATTCATCATTTATGTTTGAACCAAAATAAAAAGAAAAAATAATGATCGTTCGTCGAATAATAATATCGTAGAAGAAGAATAAAGAAAGAAAGAAAGAACAAAAGAATAAACAAACAAGAGTATAAAATTATAATTATACGGTGATCTGTAAAAGGATTCTTCTTTTGAAAAGAAAAATAAAAAGAAAGAGAAGTGTTTAACTAACAATTTCCAAGAATATCATTCAAAAAGTGTGTATAAATAATAAAATAAAAGTATTGGGAAAAGGAAACGAAAAAAAAAAAAGAAACGAAATATAAAATAATATAAAAGTTTTAACGACAAAAAGAAGAAGAAGAAACAAAAAAAATTATAACAAAAGAAGAAATAAGAAATATAATGTTTGGTTTTTCGAGTCCGTTTACGAGAACGACGACATCTTCTCGGAATATTAATCCAACGTCGTCATCGTCATCTTCATCATCATCATCATCATCGTCATCATCTTCATCGTCATCGTTGTTGTTGTTAAATCCGAAAAATAAGAAAAATAAAAAATCATCGTCGGTTAAAAAAAGAAGAGGATCGGAAGCAACAACGACAAGCGAGGAAGGTTCGGGATCTTCATCGATCAAATATATTGATCAGGAAGAACCATCATCGATATCGGCAGGTAGTAGTACGGATACTTTACCTGGAATTAGGATAGATTATTTAGATGTTGATCCGTTGTCACCTGGACCAAAAGATTCCTTGACATCACCTGCCGGTATTACCGTACATTTAAATGGTATCAGTTTGATCAACAATTCTTCAGCTTCAACATCATCGACAAGTTGTTCATCACCTTCATCATCCGGTAATGGTAACTTAACTGCCAATAATACTAGTAATAATACAAGTAACACTGAATTGTCATCTTCAACGTCAACGTCAATCTCGTCATCTTCTTCATTGTCACCTGGTGCTACTGCTGCTGCTAGTGGTGTTGGTGTTGGTGTTGTTGTTGGTGATGGTGGTGGTGTTGAAATTAGGAATGATTTAATTACGAGCAGATTTTTGGACGAAACTGAAGAGGAAGAAGAAGAAGAAGAAAGGAATGTTAATAATAGTAGCGATGGTGGTGGTGGTGGTGTTGGTGATGGTGCAACAACGAGTACAGCTGAAGTTTCATCTTCTAGAGTATCACTTTTGTCTCCTATAAATGTTACCAATCGTTCAACTAGCGATGATTTAATTTCTATAGAAAATGGATTCGATGCTAGCGAGGAGGAAGAAGAAGAAGAAGAAGAAGATATTGATGATGATGATGACGAGGAAGAAGAAGAAGAAGAAGAAGAAGAAGAAGAAGAGGAGGAGGAGGAGGAAGCAGAAGAAGATGAGGAGGAGGAGGAGGAGGAGGAGGAGGAGGAGGAGGAGGAATACGAGGAAGAAGATAACGCTGAAACCGAAGAAGCTTCCTCGTTGCCATCCAGTCCTGCAGCTGCTTCGAAAGTTGTTTTAACATCAACCAGTACCGTACCGTATTATCAATTTCTTTCGGTTAATGGTTGCACAGCAATAAGACAAGATAATAATAAAACAACTAGCAACGTTAGTTCGGCTAAAGTTACAAGTGATGTAATGGAAGGTGTTGTTTCTTGTTCTACTACTACTACTACAACAACAACAACAACAACAACAACAACTAGATCATCATCAAGTTGTGAATCAGGGAATAGCGATAATAATATTCCTCGTGATGATCCGTACGATGATAATTCATTGACCCCGTGTTATTCCGTATTAGACGATAATAATTCAATGGAAGTTGAATCTATGATTAATTCCTGCCCGGTTACTTTAAGTTTAACACCACCCAAAGTACTACCTGCCGCTCCACGTTCTTGTAATATTTTAGAAAGACTTTTAGAAGACATTTATACCATCGGTAGACCAGAACCATTAGCCGGTTATGGTCCTAGATTTAAACTATTGGAAGAAGGAGATGTACAAGTTTATTATTTCGATCACGACGATAGGACACTCGTCAGGAAAATAATGTTTATTAAATTTTTACGCAGATGGGAGACACATCATATTTATTTAAACGACGACTGCTTGTCATCTAAAACGGTGAGTTCTCGTTTCTTTTTCTTTTTTTATATATATATATATACTTACTTTCTTACTTTCATATTATTATTATTATTAATAGATATCGCATATTTATAATTTCATTTCAATATCTTATACCCAATTATATAATTTACATAATTAATAATA